GCCATCTTGTCCGCACCGGCCGCCGGGCCCGCCGCCACCATGCCGGAGGACCGGGACTGGGAGGCGTACAAGGTGCCGCCGACCCGCACCCCCGTCTCCGAGAGGATCACCTCGGTGCCCAACCCGGTCACCATCTTCCAGACCGTCTTCAACTATGTCATCGACGCGCCCGTCACCTTCGTCCGAGGTACCGGCGGGTCGGCCCCCCTCGGTAGCGCCGGGGCGGGGGTCGGCCACGGTGCGGGGACACGGGCGCGGGGAGATGGGACAGGGTGAGGGAACCGGCACCGGGACGGGCAGGGACACGGGGACAGGGCCACGGACAAGGAGACAACATGGACACCGGGACAAGGGGACAGCACGGACATTGGGACAGGCACAGGGAGATGGGACACGGTGAGGGCACGAGCACCGGGACACAGACAGGGAGACAGCTTGGACACTAGGACAAACACAGGAACACAGACAAGGAGACAGCACGGACATTGGGACAGGGACACAGGGCACAGACAGGGAGACAGCACGTACAGGGGGACAGGGACGTGGGACACAGACAAGATGACAGCATGGACACTGGGACAGGGACAAGGAGACAGCACAGACAGTGGGACAAGGACACGGAGACAGCACAGACAGTGGGACAAGGACACGGAGACAGCACAGACAGTGGGACAGGGAGATGGGACACAGTGAGGGCACGAGCACCAGGACGGAGACAGGGAGACAGCATGGACACTGGGACAGGGTTATGTGACACAGAGAGGGAGACAGCATGGACACTGGGACAGACGTGGGGACACAGACAAGGAGACTGCACGGATGCTGGGACAGGGTTATGGGACACAGACAGACAGCATGGACACTGGGACAAGGACACAGGACACAGACAAGACAGCATGGAGACAGGGATGTGGGACAAAACACAAGTACTGGGACAGGGATGTGGGACAGACAAGGGGACAGCACGGACACTGGGACAGGCACAGGGAGATGGGACACAGCGAGGGCACGAGCACCAGGACAGGCAGGGACACAGACAAGGAGGACAGCACAGACACTGGGACAGGGATGCAGGACAGACAACACAGGATGGTACTGGGACAGGGACGTCGGACACAGACAAGGAGACGGCATGGACACTGGGACAGACACAGGGACACAGCATGAGTACAGGGACACAAACATCATGGACACAGGGGCAGGGAACACCGAGCTGGACGTGCCCAGGCACGGGGTCCGCGCGGTGGCCCGGGGTGCCCGACCACCCGCTGTTGCCGCAGAGTGGATCGAGCGCCAGCAAGCCAAGAACAAGTTCTACTATTACCACCAGAAGTTTCGCCGCGTGCCCGACCTGAGCGAGTGTCTGGAGGGAGACTACCTCTGCTTCTTCGAGGCCGAAGCACAGTGGCGGAGGGACAGGTACGGTGTCACCGCGGCAGGGCACGCTGCTCGGGTTCGTCAGCCCGGGGAGACGTGGCAGTTGGGCTCGAGCTCAGCATTTTTGTGGAGTTTGGGGTGATGGGGCAGCACCTCCTGCCCACCCTGTCACCGAGCACCCATTTCACAGCGCAGCTGGCCCCTGCAGCGCGCGGTGGCACTGGGACGTGTCCTCCTGCGCTGCCTGGTTTCTGCAGGGCAGACCAGGATCCCATCACACCCAGAGCTGACCCCCCACGGGGCGTCACCGCCCCTTCGTTCAGCTCTTCTGTCCTCTCTTGGCTGTGGTGGCATTCGCTGTCACCTTTCCCACAGGATGGTTGATCAGGAGATCGTGGAGATAGTCCGGGAGAGGCTGGGCGCCTGCAAGCAGCGGGAAGGACCCAACCAGTTCCAGAACTGCGCCAAGGAGATGGAGCAGCTGGCGCAGGTCACCAAGGCCTACCAGGCCCCGTGGAACAGAGCTCCATTTCCGTTCAGCCGCCGAGGGGCTCTCACCAGAGATCTACTTTCCTTTTAGATGGCGATCTTGGTGTCCACGGCAACGCAAGGACGTGCCTGATGAAGCAGAAGCACAGGATGATAGAGGAGAGGAAGGCGCAAGCAAACCAGTCTCAGTAGATCCGAGCGGTCGGCACCTCCCTCGCGTCGAGCAGCCCATGCGGCGTGGCCCTACAATAAAGGCACAGCCCAGCCGTCTGCCATTCAACCGGGATCCAGACTTTTTTTCTTTGCAGAGATTTGCAGCACCCACAGAGCTCCTCCTTTTCCAGCTCTGCGGAGTTCCAGCGGCCGTGTCCATCCTCCCCACCACGGCCAGCCCCTTGCTCCCGGCACCCCGGGGGGCCCCAGGCGGCGAGCCAGCCAGCAGCAACCCGCTGCGCTGCCCAGCCCCGGCCGAGACCCCCTCCGCTAGCGGAAAGGATACGTGCTGCAGGGCAGCACATCGTCTGCAGAGCCGGTTCTGCACCCCGTTTAGGATTAATACATGATTAATGAGGATTAGGGTAATTTAACATTCACCAGGCACCGGCCCACAGACATGAAGCTACTCCAGCCCCCCACCTGCACAGCGCGCTGCCCACCCCCTCAGACCAGTCGCCACTCGGCGTTCACTGAGCACTTTATTGTCCCGTGCAAAACCCGCTTAAGTCGTTGCCACGGCAGCAGCCTGTGGGTTCTGCACAGAGACTCTGGTGTGGGTCTTTGCCAGATGATCAGTGAACTCCTGAGGAAAAAATAAAGTAAAACCAGTGTTTTTATTTTCCTTAAGCCCCTCTCGCAGGTTTCTCAGCACTGCAACCCAACAAGGTGTGTACGTGAGGGCTGGGGCAGTTCAGACAGCTTGTTTTTACTTCATATTTCAAAGTTTTCCCATCTCCTTTGTGCACAAAATGCTGTTTTCACACATTACTCCACACCACATGCTGAGAAATCACGCTCTTACGCAGCAGCCAGCCCTGACTGCAGCTCTGCTCTGCCATTACTGAGCTGCCAGGTCTGTGGGTGCAGCCTCCGACCGTCACGGGGCACGGGAGGGGAAAGAGCCGAGCAGCAAATGGCAGAAACGCCCTTACCTGGTAGGGAGACTTGGTGAACACCGTCTCCTTCCAGAGGTCGGGGGTCAGGTAACTGTAGGTCTTGGAGATGGCATCGAAGGTGGCTTTGGCTACGGACAGAGGGCAAACGTTGCAAGCACAGCCAGGGAGACCCGCGGGCTGCGCCCAGCCAGGCAGCGCCACAGATGTAGAATTCCAGCAGGAGCAGGGAGACCATGCAGGGTCTCTCTGACAAACACACCAAACTCGGGTTTCTTTCTCTCTCCATTTACGACAATTACACTACTGCGAGCAAGTGCAATCGCGCAGATTGGGAGATTGCTTTTTTTAGTATCAATGCACCTACGAAACCACAATTCCTTGCAATTAATTTTTACAGAACTTCAGGATCACGTACGGCAGGACTAACCTGCGTTGTAAAAGGTACCAGCAGAAGCGTTACCTTCTGCTTGCCTGCTTGCAGCTTTTGACTCGACACAGATTAAAAAACACTACAGAAACGAGCATGTTGCCTTCCTGTAAAGGACAAAACCAGCAACACCTACAGCTGAGCAGACACGGGAACGTTGGAACCAGAGGATCTGTAAGGTCCCTCCCCACCCAAACCACCGCACCGTGCTATAAGTTACAAGAGGAGAACCTAAAGCTCACCGAAGTTGCCAAGCGTGGCCGTGCAGCCCCTGGCCGAGGTGTAGCAGTCGTCGATACCGGCCATCATCAGCAGCTTCTTGGGGACGGGGGCGGACACGATCCCCGTGCCACGGGGGGCCGGGATCAGACGCACCAGGACAGACCCGCAGCGGCCAGTGACCTGCGCAAACGCACGGGTTACAGCTCCCGGAACACGCTACAGCCCGACGCCGCCACCAGGCCCCGCGGCTCCTGCTCACCTTGCATGGCACGGTGTGGGGCTTGCCGATCTTGTTCCCCCAGTAGCCTCGTCGTACGGGTACGATGGATAATTTAGCCAAAATGATCGCCCCGCGAATAGCAGTGGCAACTTCTTTAGAGCACTTAACACCAAGACCAACGTGGCCGTTGTAGTCCCCGATGGCGACAAAAGCCTAGGATTGGAAGGGAAGTTTTTGGCGGCGGCTCAGCAGAACACAGTCCGTCGAGTTGCTCGCCCAGGCGAACCCGAGGTGTGCGCTCAGCAGGGAGCAGTCACAGCTCACTCCAGGTACAAGTAAAGACAACGCCTGCTCAAACGTACACAGCAGAGCTTGGAGTTCGAGAAGCCCATTTCTCTCCTCAGAGCTCATCCTTCACTTAAAAACAGCTATGGCAGAAGAACTAAGATGCAGCTCCCTGCTACAGCCTCATACTGGTCAGAAATCCCAGTAATTTCCAAGCAGCATTCCTTCTTTACACCTAAGACATCTCCCTCCACCACAGCCCCTGAAATGGCAACACTGCTGCACGAGTGTGACTTAATTCTGTGCTAGGCCTGTTTCACATAATGTTTCAACGTGTTATTAGACTTATAAAGCCAACAGAAGAACTTTGTAAGCTACACAAACTGATCTCCACAACAAAGTATTTACTAGATACCACAGTTCCTGCAACAAAGTATTTACTAGATACTACAGAAAAAAATAAAAGTCTTTGAACTAATTTATCAATGTGATACCAAAAAGCAGCAATCAATACACGCAAAGTTTTCAACTTAAGAAAACAGAAGGTGGCTACCTTAAACCTGGTACGCTGACCAGCACGAGTCTGCTTCTGGACAGGCATGATCTTCAGAACCTCATCTTTCAGAGATGACCCCAGGAAGAAATCGATGATCTCCGACTCCTGCAAGATTCAGTCACTTACTCACAGGAGGCCACAGCTTTTAAACAAACCAAACGCAGCTAACAAGGCTGGGACAATTCAACAATTCTATATACAAGTATTATAAGTAACAGGCACTTAAATATGTTAAATTTTTCATCCATAAACTTATTCCAGCTTGCTAGGCAGTCCAACGTTACAAATTAAAACTGTATTTTTTCCATCAGCGAGCAGAACCACGACAGAAACACCCGAGCAACGTGCGGCCATCCCTACCCAAGGCAGACACCACCACACAGATCCCACCGCCCTTCGCTGCAAGCACCCGCGTCGCTCCCCGCCTTCTGCTGATTTACGCCTTTAACCCGAGCACCCCGCACAGCAAACGCGGCGAGATCCCCGCGAACTCTGCGTTTCAGACGGGAGACGCTGCTCCGCGCTACCCGTCAGCAGCGGCTCACCTTGATAGGGAGCGAGAAGAGGTAGATCTCCTCAAGAGACTTGATCTTCATGTCCTTGACCAGGCGCCCAAGCTTGGTGACAGGGATCCACTAGGGAAGAGACGCGCGGGCAGGGGTCAGCGGCGGCCCCGGGACGGGCCCGGCCTCCCGCTCCCGCTTTCGCGAGGCCCGCAGGGCCC